TTTGGGGCCGGAGCTGATCGTATCTCGAAAATTTCGTAAGTAGGGGCGTTCGTAAGTAGAGGTACCACTGTATTTTAAGGCTCACAAGTTCTCTGACCCTCAGGTTCGCAAGGCTGTATTTACACCACTTGCTTAACCAGATCAGCTGGAAACATAGTGGCTGTATTAAGCTTGGGCAACATTTTTTGTTAGTTTGTTTGTTTTTGATGGCTTTGCATGTTGTGCAAACCCAGCCTATTTGGTTTGTTCAGGGTTCAAAATATTGTGCAAAGCCAGAAAGTGGGTGATTTGGGAAGCAGGTTAGACATGTTGTGTGAATGTGGTGCTTTCCGTCCAACGTCAATGGGTGCTCTTTAAACTGCTCTCCGTTTTCAGTTCCAGATGTCCCAAATCTGTTGACTTTTCTCCTCTTGTCTTGCAGATTATTACTCCTTGCGCAAATGGGGATTAGTAGCTGCTGCCATACTTTTCATCTTGGGCATTCTCATTCTTACTTGTAAGCCTGAGCAATTGGAACGAATCAATTGTGTTATAAACTGAGGGTGGACAGAGAACGATGGAGTAAAAGAATGTAGCCATGCTTGAGTTTCATGTCATTGCCTGACAACCCTTGTTTAGCTTTAACATTTTACTATAGTTAGCATCAATCAGTTCATTACACTGGCCTTGCTTTGGCTTTCCCAGCAATGGAAGGGTTTTATCTCAGTTAACAAAATGTGGGATTCTTGTAAGAAAAAGCTGATCAAATGGATGTGATCCGCATAACTGAAAATGCTAGAAAATAACATCACACCATTAGTATGACCATTTCAAGTCAGAAAAATGGTCATGTTTAGGTGGGAACCGTTCACATTAACATCTTATTTATTTATGTATCTATCTATCAACCAGTCGGTCACATTTCTATGGCTGTCCATCCATCCAAAGAAAACCTGGGTGGTGAATCCTAGTTATATCATAAGAGTTTTTTAATGTTCAGGAAAGGCCTCTGGGAAACACATAACGAGAACACAAAAACTATGTTTTCCAGCATTGTTCCAGCAGGGGTACGCGGTGATCCAGTGCCTCGGTGGGTTTTGAAGATGCTACATAGCTAGTTTGACACAGGCTGCCATTTTTGACCATAAGCCAAACTCTAGGGCAAAGTGTATCTGTATTAACTTTATTACAGTCAATTAGACCAGTACAATATTAAAAGAAAGGGAAAGACATGAAATATGT